GGGATGAATGTAACTGCAGCGCTACTTTTGTAATGAATTATCTTACGATACAAAACCAGGCTACATACAAAAAACTTAATCTTTAATTTCTTATGAACATGAGATATGATGCTCCACTACCAGATGAACATAAAATCAAGAACACATGTGTATATAGTAAGGTCTGAATCCAAAAGTGAGTTCATAGGTCAAGTTGCCAGGTCTGTTCGATTCAGAGTTCCTCTTGGTGGCAACTTTTTGATTTATGACCAAAGCTGTCACCACAGTAACATTTAGTTATGCTGACATGTTTAAAAATAAGTCAAGTATTACTAAAAATAAGTCAAGTATTACTACAGTGACTGAATATACTTTATTGCACTTAACAAAGAACAACGTACAGACATGAGTCACTAGATTAGGTCTCATACAAAAGTGATTCTGGCAGAAAGATAGACAAAAGATATATTCCATGTGCAGTAGACCAGACTAAACACCATCTATCAGCAGTCAGGCAACCTGTCTAACCAACACACATGTGACAATGAAGATGATGTCAGCATCAGAATACTGCAGGAAATCATGCTAACTTTGGGAATATCTATGCTGAAGATTATGTAAAAACTGATAGTGAAGTTGAAACTGAAAATGATTTAGAGAACATAGTGAATGTTGTGAATGATCATTAGCATCAAGAAGACAAAATGATCATTAGCATCAAGAAGACAAAGATGAAGAGATGGAGACTGATGATGATGTGGCTTCTTGCACATTACAATGCCATCATACTCTGAAACACAACACAGAGCTTCAAGACTGCTCATAGTCAAAATGACTCAGAGCTGCTTCATCTGGATGATAAACAAAAATTATAGCTGAAGAGCAAGTTTACAAGAGAAGTTTGGTGCAGAATACTTTACTTAACTACTACTTCAAACCCTAAATACCCTCTTTGCATTATGGGGAATGTACAAAAATATGTTATTGTAATAAAGCAGTGTTTTGCATATCTTTCATGAAGTAATTTAATCTCTCCTCACCTTTAAGATAAGCAAGACATTTCATTTTATGTGTAGTAGATAACCTGTATATGGTGGAAAATGTCTATTATGGAAAAATCACTTGGTCCAGTGAGATTCCATTATAGACAGATTTGACTGTAACTACATTGTCTGAACACAAGCAAAATTTTAACAGTGGAGAAATCAAGTTTTTATACACACCAATATCTCTGTTGAATAAAACAATTCAGAATAATTATCAATCCTCCTTTCTACTGTAAGTAAATTTTAGAACAAAACTGAAAGAAAGACAAGTAACAAAGGCCCCATCTCAGGGACCTCTGTGAATTCATTATACACAAGCTTGAACAGGATGTCATTTCTTCTCTTCTGTCAAACATCACACTGTATAGGAAATACATCAATAACATACTCATTATATGGAAAAACAGATCCCAAGCAGAGGCATTTGTACAATGCTTGAATGATAATCCACATGGGCTCATGTTACAAGTTGACCAGAAAGAGAAAGGGAGGTTTTATTTCCTAGATTTATTCATTTGTTTGGAATGAGATAATATTCAAACCACTGTATACCAGAAACCTAAATTTGAGCCAATTTACATACTGGAAGACTCCCATGACCTGTAATGTTATAAAATTACAGCATTCACAGCGAGAGCACATACCCACTGCATTAGTGGACATGCAACTTGAGATAGACAGTATTAAGAACATAGCAATTAATCACAGATTTCCTAAGTGACTCATTGAGAACATTAATAGTAAACTTGTGGCTAAGAGTCAGGAACAATGTGATACAGCACAACCAGAAGAGAAAAAGAAGAAAGACTGCTTAGTAGTGTAACATAATCTCATTTTAACTCCTATATAAAAGCAGATAAGACATAGCATCACATACAAGCAAAATTCGACCATTTTCACTTTACTTAACAATGTGAAAAACCCGTTAAATAAGGATATAGCCCCTAGAGTATATGCCATTTCCCTTAGAGATGAGAGGTCTGGAAGACTTCTGATCTGCTTCAGCTCTATCAAATGATTGCTATCCAAACATCTTAAGGAACATAAATACAATATTTATCATGGAAAAACTCATCACCCTCTCTATCTATGCATCGGAAACAGGGATTATCCCATTACAGTAGAGCGTCGTTTATCCGAATCAATTGGGGACTGGGATTGTTCGAATAACTTATTTTTCGGATAACCAATTATGTAGAAAAAATATATTAACCTATCCCGTGTTGAAATTTTTCTCCGTTGTGTGTCGCTTTGTGTTGAATTTTCGTCGATATTAAGCATAACATAAACTTTTTAAAATAATAATCGTGGCTATTGTATCGTTAAAAATGATTTCTTTATGTTTTACAAACGAAATAAATACATTGACAAATATAAAAACAGATAAAAATTATACTTTAGGCCAACTGGAATTCTTTCAGATAACTGACATTTCGGATAACCGACTTTCAGATAAACAACGCTCTACTGTATTTCAACAAGCCTCCAAGTTAAAAACATCCATACATGGGGAATATATTAGACAGCTCAAAATTTTCAAGGCAAACAGAACAGGAAATTATGTTAACAAGGATGAAAGAGCAATCTTGAAAGCACGGTAGGCTTGCTTTGACAGTTCCTTATGAACTGCCCATCCATGCATTATGCAATGCATAGATAGGCATTGCCTATGCAAAATTTGTAGTAAAATAAATGCAAATTTGTAATAAAATAATTCATTGCTCAGCAAGCATTGCATAATGTGTGCATGACAGCTGATTTGAAAGTAAATATTCCTGTTCAAAGATTCAATGAACACTCTGATATTCAAATTTTCTGATGAAGACCTTCAGAGTAGGTTGAAAACATGAAAAAGGTGATAACTTTGAAAACTGCTGTACTAATTTTCAAGGTTAGTGAGATTTTATGTACTTACCTTGCATGTTTGGCAAGAGAGTTATTGAGTATGGTGGTTGTACAGAATAGTGGCCACAGTCACCTGACTTAACATTGATGGACTTCTTTTGGGGATATCTGAAAGATCAAGTGTACAGTACCTTCCACTATGGAGGATTTAAAGAAATGCATCAACACCTGTAATTCTGTAATACCCCTTTCAATGCTGCATACTGTTTAAGATGCAGTTCTCTCCTAAATCCAGAAGTGCATCATTGCTGAGGGTGCACATTTTGAACACTATGTACAGTAAACTACTTGGGAAAGTTAGTTGCAACTGTGCTGCATTACATCTGTGTTGTTTTGTGCATAAATGTTTATTACTTTGTTAGTCTTTTCTGCTCTTTCTTTTAAGTGTTTCTGCTAAACCAAGTATAATTTTGTACTTATTAAACAATGCTCTTCCATTTTGTAATTGGACATTTTTGCTTATCTCTCATAGTTTCTGAGTTAATTTTCTTTATTTCTGTATTTTGCCATTAGAGGCACTAAAATCACATTTAATGGATTACTCATGGTCACTTTACTATAGGTGCCAATTGCTTGCATGGTGCTATGACAGGTGGTTTAAAAATTATAGGGAGTTTAGGAACTTTCCTAAGAACTTTGTATACCAACCCAATATTAACTCAATAAATGCTGAAACTGTATACTTGTAATAAAAATGTCCATGTATCAGATAAAGTGTCTTTACATCAACCATACTTCATATTAAGTTCATTACAATTAAGGTAGTTCCACTCATTTGGTATTTGCCAATTGCCAAATAATTGCCTATTTATCCCCTTTGATTTTGCATAATATACCAAGGAGTGGGAAATGGTGAATACCAAATATTAGTCATCAGTGGCGTGGCGTGACATTTGGTGATAGGGAAACTGTGTTTCTGTAAGAAGCCAGGGGCAATCTGTTAATTGCATCTCAGTCTAACTGATTGCCCCTGGAAGTCAGCTTCAATCTTATCATTGTTTTTCACATGTATACAAATTTGTAATAATTCCACAGCTTCTATAGACGACACACCACTGTTAGTCATGATAAATCATCCACTACTGGGTACTGCTAAATGTTTGCTCAGCATTCAGTGAATACCAAATGTGAAACCACCTTTAAAAGTCAATAAATATCTTCATTATGTTATTTTTATCCATTGTTAATTTTAAATTTAATGCATTATATTTAATTTTTCTTCCATTATTATTTGATATTCAAATTTTGTATTCTAATTTCTTAAATGTTATCAATTTTTGAATTTCATATAATTACATTCTATCCAAGTTCTTACATAATCTAAGAGCAACTATTAAACAGGTTGACACCATTTACAGTAGAGCATTGATTATCCGACCCCTAATTAACCGCACATCGGTTAACCGACCATTCTAGTCAGCAGATTTCAAATGTCCGCTAGTGATGTGGCACTACAATATTTGGCTATGCCTTGGCTACTTTAATATTATTTTTGTTACATTTTTGCATGTTTTAGCTGGCAACACTGGCTCAACCATGAAAGGGAGGCCAGTATTTAAACGATACCTAATTTTCTAATTATGAATGGTTATTTGTTTTGTGAGCAATAAAATAATTTAAAAATAATTTTTAATTTTTTGTTTGTAAAACATAAAGAAATCATTTTTTAACGATACAATAGCCACGATTATTATTTTAAAAAGTTTATGTTACGCTTAATATCGACGAAAATTCAAAACGATAGAATAGCGACAATTATTATTTAAAAAAAAATTTTGTTAGGCTTAACATTGATGAAAATTCAACGCAAAGTAGGTTAATAGTGATATACTAATATACTAATTACATGGGATATACTAATATACTACACTAATAATGTATTTTTTTCATTCTTTTCAGTTATCTGATTTTTTCAGTTATCCGACCAACCCGAGTCCCCAATTAAGTCAGATAATCGATGCTCTACTGTATTATTATAGTAGACAAGTCTGCTGAATAAAAGTATTTTTTTCTTCTTTAATTCATATTTTTAGAAAAAGTTTATTTGAATTAAATAATTACAATACTTACCCTAAACATTTTGAGACATAAGTCACTTTCATAAATTCATTAGAACTATTTTTCAATATAACCTTTGATCTAATTTTCTATAATTGAAAATTAAGAGTGAAATATTTAAAATTCAGAAAATTGAAATAATATAAAAACTTAAATAAACAGTGAGATAAACTTACATTATATTGACCTTGAATTAAATGAACTATATTTGAAGAATCTTTTAATAATTTTCCTGCATATGATGCTTCAATTTTTGAACTAAGAATGTTATAGAGTGGTATTTTTTGTTCAGGGACAGCAAATATAACATTAATTTTATTTTCGACAAGTATTTTATTAATTTGGCTTAAAGATGGATAATCCTAATTAAAAAATAAAAGAAAAATTGTTGTCATTTTTGACAAGTGATAAAATCATAAAATAATAATAAAATACATAAAATATTTTGTTTTTGGTAAGAATAATACACTTTCAATCTTAAATGTTAAGAGTATTCACTGTAATGTATCATTGTATTGTGATGTAATTGCCATTTAATGCAGTATGACATTTTTATGTTTTTATATAAATTGTGTTCTTTATGTGTGTCCATTCTAACTTTTCTTTGTTCTATTGGAGACTGGTTGATTACTATAACATCACAAATACCTTTAAAATCCAGTCTAACATATAATCAAACAATGAGAAATATATAAACTGACAAACAGTTTTGTCAGTTTATATATTTCTCATCATTTGATTATATGTTGAACTAGATTTTAAAGATATTTGTGATGTTATAGTAAAAAACAGAAGAGGAAAATTGTTTCTTTACCAGCCAATATTATTTAAACCAAGAAGTTACAAAATAAAATTTAATTTTCTTTTATTTCATTTTAGTGGATAAAAATAGAACCTTGAAATTTATTTCTCCATTTCCCATATCAGTTTTTGTTTAAACAATTTCAATTTTACATGGAACTACTCCATCATGTAAATAAAGGGTTAAATGTATATTTTAAAATAAAAAAATATAAATTTAATTTTTAAAAGTTGATTATTTCAGTGATTCATTAATATGTAAAATTACAATATATTTGTTAATAGGAGAATATAAATAAATTCAGAATCCTAATCTATAAAATTTATGGACATACAATAATAATGATTTACTTCTGAATTATATTACTAACATATGTGAAATTTGTTAATGTGTACAAATGGTACAGGTAGCCCTTATATAACATGGTAGTTAGATTATAAAAATTTTCCATGTTATACGAATCCATGATAAATGAAAAAAAGGACTAGTGCAAAACACAGGTTCCAAAAATTAACAAAAGTATACTACTCTTTTTCATTACTAAG